ATGGTTAGTAAAATACAGAAATGCAGATCTTATTTATGTCTCTGTTATCCATGAGTTGTTAGTGAAAATGCCACATGTGCAATGATGAGGAGATAGATGGAATTACTAATTTCTAAAACTGACAATAAATCAAAGTTATAGAACTCCAAGAACTGACTTTGGTGAGTATCTAATACATCTTATTTTACAGATGAAAACAAGGGACAGAAGAGAAATGTAATTAGGTTATATATCTGATTTCTAGAAAATAGGAACTGAAATATTTGTTAACATGACAGAACCCAGACCTAGTTTCCTAAATGGTACTCTTTCCATATCTAAGTTTAAAAAAAAAAAAAAAGATGGGGGGGTGCATGGTAGGCATGCCTTTCATCCCAGCACTCAGGCGGCAGAGATGGGTGAAATCTGAGTTCCAGGTCAGACAGTGTTGTTATAATGAAATCTCGTGTCCAAAAAACAAAAAAAAATTTTTTGTTTTAATCTATATATGGATTTAAGGATAAATTCGTAAATAAAATTTAATTCCTAATAGTTAATAAACAGAAAACTATGAATGCAGGCTACATATACATAAGTGTGGTTTTTTTTATTATTTTTTTTATGTGTATGCGTGTATTGCCTGCATGTAGGTAAGCACACCTGTGTCATGCAATGCCCGTGGAAGACAGAAGAAGCTGTGGGATCCCCTGGAACTGGAGTTACAGACAGTTGTTAGCTGCCATGTGGGTGCTGGGATTTGAACCAGGGTCTTCTGCAAGAACAGTCAGTGTTCTTAACCTCTGAGCCATCTCTCCAGCCCCCATAAGCATGTATTTTAAAATATATTTATACTTTTATGTGTATGAGTGTATTGCCTGCATGTATGCAAGTGCACCCATGTCATGAAATGCCCTCAGAGGTCAGAAGAGAGCATTGAGTCCCCTGGAAATGGAGCTATAGACTATAGTTAGCCACCATGTGGATGTTGGGATCTGAACCTATGCCCTCTCCAAGAGCAGCCAGTGCTCTTAACCACTAAGCTATCTCTCTAGCTCTGTGCGCAAAGCGTGCATTTTTAATGTATATCATACTACAGATTTTCATCTCAAATATATCCTATCACAACAAATCATCTAGACTCACCAATAAATATAGTACACAAAACTTAATTTTTTTTTTTTTCTGTCTTTCTGAGACAGGGTCAAAAGCCCCAGCTGTAGCCCCAGCTGACCTGGCACTCACTATGTAGACCAAGCTGGCCTCGAACTCACAGGGATCCACCAGCCTCTGCCTCCCAAGTGCTGGGATTAAAGTCGTGTGCCACCATGCCTAGAAACACTTAAAATCAAGTTAAGAAGATGAAAAGGGGGGATGTAGAGATGGCTCAGTGGTTAAGAGCACTGGCTGCTCTTGCAGAAGTCCTGGGTTCGAATCCCAGCACCCACATGGCAGTTAACAACCATCTGTAAATCCAGTTCCAGGGGGAATCCAACGCCCTCTTCTGTCCTCTGCGGGTACTGCACAACATGGGTGCACTTATATACATGCAGGCCTAATGCTCATACACATAAAAAAAGTAAATAAAATTTAAAAAGACAATGAAAAGGAAACATGCAGCTTTAAAGGTGAATCAAAGGGAGGAAAATGAATCTTAGTTTTGTCCCAGTGATGTCAAAATGCATGGTGGAAAGAGTCACACTCATGACCACAGGAGTCTTAGGTTTTCTGCATCAAGAGCTTCAATGTGTGCTCTCCTCAACCCAAACCACCTGGCTGGAGCTCCCCAAAGCCTTCAGGGAACTTAATCACTCAACCCCAGCCAAATGAATCATTCTTTTATTTGCCAGACAATGTTTAGAGAATCAGAAATAAAGGTCTCATTTAACTTCCTCCTATCAATTGAGAAACACCCTTTGCTTAAGAAAAGTTTTTGAAAACTGCAATTGACATTAATCCTTGGGATTTATTGACTTCCTAAAACAAAATACTGAGGAGACAGACACTACAAAAAATTTTCAAAAGCAGAAGTCAACTACGTCTCAGTATACCTAGACAAGCATACTATAGAAATCTGTTCTTTTGAAGGATAAGCAACTTTATTTTTGCTTTAGGATCTGCTTACCAGTCACTCTTACCACTAAACAAGATTCAAAATTTACATGAGATGGTTTTTCTACCCCCTCCACTTCAACAATGTCCACTAACTTCCCATTCTAATCAATATTTTTATTCCTTTAACAAAGTTCCTTGGTTCTCTTTTATATCCTGCCAGAGACGTGTCTTATTTTTAAGACTGCTTAACTATCATATACTTGCAAAGAAAAATAAAAGCTGGCCCAAGATTACCTTTAGCATGTAGCCAGAAGCATGGGCACAAACTACCAACTCCCAATGTACTATCCTCTAGGTCAAAGATGGGAACATCTTAATAATTCCAGCAAGAGCTATTATTTTAAAGAACTACTTTAATTGCCTTCCAGATCTATTCCTTCATTCCCACACAAAGTCAGGGTATGATTTCCCTATCTCATTTTTAAAGGGCAAAACCCCAGGGTGGTGGTAAGGAAGCCTATGTTGTGTTACTCTAGAGTTGGTTTAAAGGAAGAACACAGGTCAGGAGGACTGGCCCTGAGTTTGTGCTCTTTCTCTCCTCCCTTTTCAAACCCTCCCCATCCTGCTAACCTGTTGGCAGTGCTGGTGTTGCTGTTCCCACTGCTGTGTTTCTGTGCCCGGTTCAACCTCCGTGGGGGCTTTGAATGTTGTAGCCTGGGGCTCGGCATGGAAGGGAACGATGAGGCATAGCCATGTTCACACTCTAAAAGGGCAAAGAAACAAAGAGGTGTAAGGATACAGACACCCAAATCCACGATCCACAAATCCAAGGTCCCTGTAGTAACATTTTTTTAAAGTAGGTAAAGTAAAATGTTTTTACTCTTTTTAGTTAGAAGATAAAATCCAAATGTTTAGCCCAAGGTGGTTGTACATCCCTTTAAACTCAACACTTAGGAGCCTGAGGCAAGAGGGATCCCCAAGTTCAAGGCCAGCCAGGGCTACATGGCAAGCCCTGACTTTAAAAACAAATCCCGGGGCTGAAGAGATGGCACAGCGGTTAAGAGCACTGACTGCTCTTGAGAGGACCCGGGTTCGATTCCCAGCACCCACAAGGCGGCTAGGAACCATCCTTACCTCCAGTTCCAGGGAACACGACACAGGTGCACTCACGTACATGCAGACAATACACTCATACACATAAAAACAAACAAACAAACAAACAAAAAACTCCAGTTCTTGTCTGGACATCAGTGGACAAGCATACAGACCCTAAACCGCCTGGACAGGTAATGATACCTCTTCTAAACTAAGTAATTTCTCCCTCCTCTCCAAAATCTTTTCCCTCAACAACTTTTTTATCATCCTAATTTCTAAGACCAGTTACCATTCACTCCAAAAGATTCACCTGTCTTAAAAACATCCCCTTTTGTTAATGCCTGTCTTCTCTGCAGTCTTGGTAAACTCATTTTCGTGTGCCCCAACTATTTCAATCTGCAAATTTTAGAAGAACGTTCTCTCCTGACCAGCATCCCGGCTCTTCCCATCCCAACGTCCCAGGCTATTTCTCCTTTGGTCTCCACCTCCGAAGTGATCCCACCTCACCCCACCTCGGACCCTCACGGTGGCAAGTGGCAAGGCGATCCTGCCGCAGCTAGCCAGCAGGCTTGCGCCCCAAGATTCTCACGGCCCCGCCTCCTGCACTCCCCAGCTCCCACCTCCTCCGCTGTCATCTCAAGTCAGAAGATGCTCCCTCTCCAGCCCCCTCTGCCCCCTCCGCTGGCCCTGCCGAGCTCCTGGCTCCTTCCCCTCCAGCTCCGACCCTGCTGGCCGCGCCTCTCCTTGCGCCCCACTCTCCCCTGCCCAAGCTCCCACAGCCAATACAGGCCACCCGCGCGCGCAGATGCCTGCCCTCCCTCGCGGCCGTCTTCTCCCACGCCTCCACTTACAAACTCACCTGCACCTCGGACAAACCTCCCCTGCGGGCGCGCACCTCCCACGCGCGTGCACCTTCTCGCACGCGCGCAGCCCCACACGCCCGCACACTTCTGCCCACACGCGCGTGCACCGCCTCCCACGCGCGCGCGCTACTCACGCGCACCTCTTCCCCAGCGCACGCACTTCCTCCCACCCACGCGCGCACCTCTCCTCCACAGGCGCACCGGGTTCCCAGTGCGGAAACCAAGGCGGTGGTACCCAGCCATTACCTCGCTCCCTGCGCTCCAAAAACTCTGCGGCCTCCAGCAGGCGCTGCACGTTGATCATCCGAACCCACTCCATGGGCTCCGCGCGTGGCCGCAGGACCTCTCCGTGCTCCCGCCCCTGGCCGACAGGAGGCGCCGCAGGCGGCTACAGCCGCACGACGCTCCGGGACATGTGCGGCGGGCGGGCGGGCCAGCCTGGCCCCGGCTCGGCGAGCTCCACGCCGCCCCAGCCGTGCCCGCCGCACCCGCCGCGCCGCCTGCAGCTCGCGCCGGGTTTGTTTACCTCTCCGCGCGAGCACAGGAGAGGGGCGGGAGCAGCGCGGAGGCCCGCCCCCGCCCACCCCTTCTGCACTCCCCTGGGAAATGTAGTCCCGCCCCCGCCGCTGCTCCTTGGGAGTCGGTACACGCGGCGCCTCAGTGCACCTGCGCCTGCACGAGTCCGCAATGGCCTCTGGGAGATGTAGTCTCGCTAGTTTTCCTTTTCTCCCTCTAAGGATGGAAAGACCAAGAGAACTTGCCAGCATTTGGCTTCAGAGGCAAAAAATTTGATTGAGCTGTGTCTGTCTCACAGTGAGACCCATTTCTTAGCATGTGCTCAGGGACTGGGGCATTCATTACTGAAATATGTTCCAGTCCTCTATCAACACGTTCTCAAGCAACTTCTCTGCCTAGATTTCCTCATCCACAAAATAAGGAACGTAACTCTTTGCAAGGGCAGAATCACAGAAACTATTGAGAAGTAAAAAAATCGCTGACCAGGGCTGGAGAGATAGCTCAGCGGTTAAGAATACTGACTGCTCTTACAGAAGACCGGGGTTCAAATCCCAGCACCCACATGGCAGCTAACATGTTGTAACTCCCGTCCCAGGGGATCCGATAGCCTCTTCTGTCCTCCGGGGGCATTGCATGACACGGGTGCACTTAACCTACATGCAGGCAATAAATTCATACACATAAAATAAAAAATAAATATAAGTAAATAAAATATTTTTAAAATCGCTGACCAGAAATAGGGGTCATTAATGGGAGCGAGAGAGGACTTCCATGAGGCCCTTTGTCCACCACTTCGACACAGACAAGTTTTCTAATATCCTTTCTTTTTAAACTGCTTCCTTCCTCGGTCCCTCACTAGAGCTTTTAGACGACAGAAAACCTGTTGTAGTGCTACAAGAAAAGGGCATAAAGATTTGGTACTGGAATTATACTGACTTCAGTTCAAATGTGAACTCTGAGTGTGTGTACTCTTCAAACCTTTTCCTCATACATAAAATGGATACAATTTTTCCATTTTTGCTTGATGCTGAGGGCCTACAATGTGCCAGGGACTAAACCAAACTTTGTCTTCTGTGATGAGAGAAACAGACATAAACCCTGCTTCCAGGAAACATATATATTATTCAGTAGAATCTACCGTGAAGGTTAAATGAAATTATTCCATTGCTCAGTATTCAAGGCACTCAACAAATGTAAGCTGACTGCTTTCTCTCATGCTCTCCCTCCTCCTCACTTAAAGGTAACTGAAAATGGACTAAGGAAGCAGGGGGCACAGTAAAAGGCCAGGGGCCACTGGCTGGTCTACCACCATCCTTTCCAAGTCTGCCATATAACCAGTCCTCAAAGTCCAGACCAGGGTTTCTTAATCTTGGCATTTTTGCCACTTTGGGCCTGTTAATTCTTTCTTGGAGCAGAGGTTCTGTTCTGTGCATTATTGGGTATTTAACAGCATCCCTAGTCTCTACCCACTAGATGCCACCACTACCCCTCAGACATGATAACCAAAAATGCCTCCAGACATTGCCACCTGTCTCCTGAGACACAAAACACGGCCCCCCAAGTTGAGAACAATTATCTATGGAGGGGAAGGGCAAGAGGCCAGGAACCTCTGGCTGCTCTGGAGCAAGGCAGGAATTGTGTAAACACATCCACAACTGCTTCCCTCTCTGATTTTTTTCACCTACTGGGAGACACCCAACATAACAGGAAACCCTTGGAGAGGGGATAATCTCCCCTGTGCTCATGTCATTGGCTACTGCAGAAAATACCACCTTGGGGTAGATGGCTTACCATCTCAAAAAAGGGGATTTGCATTGCATTTTAACACTCTGCTATCCTTGGTACCCCACCCCCCAAAAGTGAGCAAGATCTCCAATGAGGTCACAAGCTGCAAAATTCTGCCAGCCTTTTTAAATATTACACTTGGCACATTTAAGAAGTAGATGTTCCATCAAAGTCAGGGAGGCCCAAAATGAGAGGTATTCACAAACCACAGGGGTGGGAGACTTCATCAAGACTGAAAAGGGGACTGTGTTTTTTTAGCTGTTGGCTAGGTCATCTGGGTTTTCCCATTGCCCACTGGTAACAGTCACCCTCCATCCTCAACCAGGGACACGTTGGATAGAGGTAGGAAGAAATTGTTTTTTTAAACAATTTATTGGGGCTAAAGAAATGGCTCAGTGGTTAAGAGCACTGACTGCTCTTGCAGAGGACCTGGGTTTGATTCCCAGTACCCACGTGATGGCTAACAACTGGCCCCAACTCCAGTTCCAGGGGATCTGATGCTCTCTTCTGAACTCTCTGAGTGCTGCATGACACGGATACAATTGCATACATGCAGGCAATACACTCATTACACAGGAAATAAAAATAATAAAAATATATTTTAAAATGTGTTATTTACTCAGAACACCTGTAATTGAGGATTAAAAACTATTAAGGTTAAAAGTTAGTTCCCACCACTTGCAGACCCCCTTTAAGTTTTCGATTCCAAATTCTAAGAGCTATCCTGGAAACTTAAGTAACTTTTATGGCAAGTGAAGGTCTGCTTTACCTAGTAGTGGGCAAACCTGTGGGGTATGCAATCAAGAAATGCAGTAAAACCTGAAACTATCGGTGAATTGAAGGTGGCTTTAATTGCATAGGTCCAGGGAAGGTTCATGAAAGGTTAGCTGGATGTCACAGTTGATGCCACAAGACTTAGCCTAGAGACCTGACCAAAAGGCAGATGAGGAGATGGAAAGAGCCATCAAAAAGCTACCTGCATATGTTGCAGTGCATAGGCAATGGTGATGACAGCAGGCTGATTTACATACAGAAATCTCCAGCCTTTTCCAGGAGTAATTGAGAAAGCTGCTATCCACATAGCCTTCCTTGGCTTAACCCCAGCCAGGGGGAATTCAGGGGCAGCCATGATTTTGCTTTTGCTCAGATGAAGTTACTCTGCCCAATAAACATAGACGGGAAAACAGGAAAGCAACCAGAATCTATAGGTACAAGAACCTGGGATCTTAAACCCACAGTCTCTGGTTCCATCCTCTCCCTAAAGTACCTCTCTGTCTCTCTCCATCTGGGGAGCCTCATTTGAAAATGGCAAAACTCCCCCGAGTCCCCCAGCTCTATTACAATAGCCCTGGATGGGGACAATCCACCTTCTGAAGAAGCAGGTGGAGCCCTCCCTTTTTAGGGTACTTTCCACTGCTACACACACACACACACACACACACACACACACACACACACACGCACATGCACATGTGCACACACATGCACAGACACCAGTACAGATGTAAATTCCCAAGTGATGTATTGCAAATTCATAAATGGAGGCTGATGTGTCATATCTTTTCTGCCGACAGGTGAGATGGAGAGGGGGGAAGGGGCTGTGTCTGTTAAGTTACAAGTTCAAAGTCACTGTTAGTGACACTGCTTGTTGGGGAGCCCTTTCCTGAGCCTGCAAAGTGCTTACCATGTAGGCACCGTTTTGAACAATTATCTTTAAGGGTGGAAACTTACAAAGAACAAAGGTCCGGAGACAGGGAGCGTGAGTTCCGAGGTCCTACAGGACAACTACATAACTGTGACCCATCTTTCCATCCCCCACTCCTACATGGAGGCCGCAGCCTCCTCCCCTCCTCTTCCCCCAGAGCCCAGAAACGTGTAGAGCAGCAGAAAAACCTTGGCTCTGCCCAGTGAGTCAGCCTTGCCTAACTTCATGCGTAAGCTCTCCACAAGTCAGCGGCAGCTCAGAGCTGCGGGGCTGTGTGCAGCCGAGATAAATTTGGGTCTAAAGAGATGACGTAATGCTAAACCCGAGAGGTGGCTGCCGTCTCCCAGGGCTCCAGTCGCCAGGGCTGCCGGCTGACTTCCCAACCACATGGAAACGCACCAAGCGACCCAGGTGCCCGAGCTGGGGAGAAAGGGAAAGAAAGGACAGGGGGAGGGGGTAGCGGCAGAGGAGGCGATGGTTAGTCCGAGATCGCTGAATCTGAAGTTTGTTGTTTTTTAACTCCAGTTTTTCTGGTGAGATCAGACCACTGGCAGAGGCTCAAACAGCTGCACTTGACTTCCATCCTGACCCATCTCTTCTCTTAGAGAAGGGCTTTTTACATTTTATTAAATGGCCCTTATTAAAGCAGCCTATTTCAGTGATTATAATGGATGTATTAATCTCTCAAATGTCCTTTTCCCTCTTTTTTGCATGAACTTGGATCCAACAAGTCTGCATTGCAGGACTCGGTTAATATGCATATCTAAGTGGCTTTCTTACTCAGGATGACTCTTGGGGGGCAACTGGTAAGGAATTCAAAACGGTTTTGTTTGAGTTGTGCCAAGAGAATGGTTCCCCAAAAATGTTTCACAGTTTGTGTCATGGAAGTTTTATCTCATGAAGCTTGTTTATTTCTCAGCCCAGGTCTCCACTTTGCAGTTGAAAACAGCATGCAGCTGACAAACTGATGAGGGAGAAAGGGTCTAAGATGTAGGTAGACACTATGATTTCTTTGTTCTAGAATTCCTTTTTCTTGTTGATTCATGGTTATAAGAAAGAAAGAGGAAAATAAAAATTTGGAATGTGGGGCCCCAAGCCTAGTCCTTTAACCATCGAGACTGTGTTACATTCCCTAAGGATCCAGAAGCTGCTTTGGTTTTCTGTTCAAGGTTCACCCTTCCCTAAGGAAAGCCTACCTTTTCCACTTCTTCTTTGCTGGTGAGGACCACATGCCACAGACCCAACCTCACCATGCCACTTTAAAGGACTCCCCACCCCCAGGTACACTGTCTTTGCTGTATGACGTAGTTGCCTTTCTTAAGAATGCCTCCAGAGTCCTTTTTCAAATGATCTCTCATCACTGTCCCTGGTGTCTCATAATATTCTCCTGTAATTTGTGTTTATAACCATTCATGCTGGTAGACTTCATGATGTTCAGCTGTACCTGGTCAACCATGGGATGTTATTTTTTGAAACATTACTAAATTCCATGAATTAATACTTTGTTAGGAATTTTTCATC